GCTGCTCCGATGTTTCGGGTCCATTTTTAGCCATTTTTGTATTTCCCCGCTCCGGCCGCGCCGCCGATCCCGCCATGGCGCGGGTTATTTACAGCGCTGTTTTCCTCCTCCTCTCCACGGGAACCGCCGTCCCCGCGCACTCCTCCCCCCTTTCGCACGTTTTTCCCCTCGTTTTTCCGCACACCGCGGATCGGGCAGGACGGGCCCCCCTCGCCGCTCCCCACTCACCGCTTGAAGTGCTCGATGATCTTCTCCTCGCGCACGTTCTCCGGCAGGTTGCCCACCCAGAGGTGCCTGGTTTCCCGGACCATGCTGCGCGGCGCGGGGCGAGCCCGCCGCCCGTACCCCGGCTCCCGGCCGCCGCCTGCCCCCGCGCCGCGCCGCCGGCCGCCGCTCGCCGCCCGCCGCCGCCGCCTCCGCCTCGCCCTCCGCCCCTTCCGCCGCGGGGCCCGGCCGCCCTCAGCGCCACCGGCCGTCGGACCGCACCATCCCCGCCGGGGGGGCCCCCTGCCCGCCGGGCCGGCTGCCGGGCGCCGGGCTCGCTCTCCGCCGCGGCTGCGCTCCCTCGCCGGCTCCCCCCGCCGCGCCGCCCGCTCGCTCGCTCCCGCTGCCTCCTCCTGCTCCTCCTCCGGCAGCGGCAGCGCGGCGCCCCCGCCGCCGCCTCCTCTTCCTTCCCCCCCCGCGCTCCGGCTGCTCCGCCGGCCCGGCCGCGCTCGCTCGCTCTCCCCCCCTCCCCTTCCCTTTTCCCTTCCCTTGCCCGCGCCTCGCGCAGCGCCACACGGGGGCCCCCGCGCAGGCGCACTGCGCCCCGGGGCGCGCGCCGCGGGGCCGGTGGGGGGCGGGGCGAGTGTGCGCACCGCCCCGCGCGGGGGGGCGGGCGGGACTGCGCGTGCGCGGGGCGGGCGGGGCAGTGGGGGTGTGAGAAACGGGGAGATGAGAGAATTGGGGTGGGGGGGTGTGGGAATCGGGGTGGTGAGAAAAGTACTGGGGGGCTGTGACAACTGGAATGGAGGATGTGAGAAACTGGGATATGAGAGGATTGTGAGACAGTGGGAGACTCAGACACAATGGGGGATTGTGAGACAACGAGGGGCTCTGAGAGTCTTATTGGGAGGCTGTGAGGATCATTACAGGGGCTCTGAAAACTAATGGGGACTGTGAGATAATGGGGCTGTGAGAGCTGTAACAAGCTCTGCAAGAATTGTAATGAGGGGCTGTGAGACGTACGAGGGCTCTGAGAGTCGTGATGTGGAAACTCACAGTGCTGGGCTGGGACAGTTGTAATGGGGAGCTGTGAGACAGAACGGGTTGTACTACAAGGGCAAGGTGTCGCTAGCACAGCTTAAAGAAGCTTCACCCAGCCAGGGGCTCCTGCTGACCCCCAAACCTACAGCTCCCCCAAAATCCATAAGGATTACAAAATCCTGAGCCACAAGCTACCTTCATCCCCAGGTGAGCACACACCCAGCCAGTGGCCACTGGGCAGATAAGTAAAAAATTGAGGTGATGGCAGTGAGGGCCCTGCGCTGCCCGTGGCTCTGGTGTCCATAATGGCTCCAAAGGTCAGAGCAACAAGCTGAGAGCAGGGCTGCAGGGGGACCGCCAAACCCCCTTGGCTGCTCCATATGCTTCCTTCTGCAGAAACAAGGATGATGTGTCACCCTGAGAATCTTCCTCCACCGAAGCAGGGTGGCCGTGTTGTCCTGAGGCACTTCCTCTAACAGAAGGGAGACCACATTCTGTGAAAACCACACGCAAGAAACTCCCGCTGTGGGAAGGATTCACCTCCCCGCCCCCCCCCCCCCAGGGGTTGGCAGAGCTCATTAATTAACATGGAGTGAAGAAATTGCCCGTTGCCAATATCACCGGTCTCTAGTTGCCTGACATGTCACACCCCAGCTCTGCAACATAGAACTAGGCATTTTTTAACCCACAAGATCTTCTTTTCCACCAAAACATGCCACTGCACTGATAAAACACCTATTTCTATGTCTCAAAAGGAAAATGCCAAGCCAGTTCCCGCTGTGAGATTCCGAGCAGCTTGAGGTCAGAATAAAACACGCACCCACAGCCACAAGTGCTGGTGTTTAAAGCCTTCACTGCTTTCATCACAAAGCAAACCTATATTTCAGTATTTTCCACGGCCAAAGTCTCCTGATGACGTTTCGGTATTGATCAAACCCATGTTTTATTTGTCAGAGCTGCCTTTTGCCACCCAATCCGGCCAGACACTGTAACCTTTCGGCAACAAGTCCACCTCGCTACTGGTCAAAGTCACCGAGCTGTAGTAGCTTAACAAACATGCAAATCTCCTGATTTAATCACATCTCTGACGCACATGGACTCGATCTGTGGTGGCCCCGAACCTTATCCCCAACTCCAGTGGCTGCAAGCCCATCCTTTGGCAGCCCAATGCCTCAGTTTCCCCAGTGATGATGGGCTCTGCCAAACTGGGATCTACTGATTAATTAAAAACCCCAACAATTCCTTGCACACAAACCATCTATTATTTAAAACATGGGATGGAGCCACATGCACACAAGAAAATGCGATGCCAACAAGTTTCACCGGTGGTTCCAGTGTGGAACTGGGCTCAGCTTTCCATTTTACCTGCTGGGAAAACCCAAGGAATAGTTTGTACGTGTCTCTACCTTTAACGGGCTCTCCATTTCGAAGAGAAAAATCCAAACCAAAACTGCCAAAAAAAATCAAATAACTTTTCCATGACAAATTCTCCCTCTCTGATGCAGTGTACTTAATGCAACTGCAGTTTCAACTGTTCTTCCTCCTTGCTGAGGTGGCATCTCCAAGGGACACAAGGAAACCGCACCAGCTCCCAGGTCCTTCCAGGGAATCTCACGTGGAGTCACTGCTGTCACCCGGCCATCTCACAGGACATGCAGGGGCTGGGAGCTGTCACAAACAAAGCCATCGACTGTTGACAGGAGAGGGTTGAGACGAGTGCCAGGAGGGCTCCATTTACACAACAGCCAGCTGGAAGAGGAGCACAAAGCTCCGCTGGTGACGCAAAACAAAGCTCTGGACCATCATAATACTCTTTAAATGCTTTGCAGGGAAACTGTTCCTAGTTGTGACTGCACCAGCGATGCTGCTGTAACCAGATCCCCCCAGTTCAGCTGAAGATTTTAAAGAACACAGATCCAGGCTGGAGACCAGAGCAGGTTACAACCCTCCCCTCAGCAGGCCAGAGGGGCTGTGAGGAAGGACCAACACTATCCTTGTGTCTACAGAACAGACACACGCTTGTGCCAGCCCAGTGTCCTGCCGTGAATGACAGCGCGATGAGCACCAGGGACGAGACACGGATGCACTGCTCTGTGTGTTGTCCTTCCCAGGGGCCAAACAGCTGATGACAAGGGGACTTGAGCTGTTCTACATGACCCGATGGCCCTCAGTCTTCGGGATACACACTGCAAGGAACAATTTAAATTACTCCTGGGAGAGTGTAGCTGAGAGCCCAGCTATCTCCGGACATCTCAGCCAACCCCACAGTTAAAACATTTGGATGTTTCTTATCAATTCTTGGAGAGGATTAAAGTGCCAGGCCATTTATTAGTGAGGGAACAGGTTATAAACCCATCTCAGCTTGAACACCACGTTCATGTCAGGAAAAGCAAGGCAAGAACAGGACTGATCAAAAGAGAGCCATTAAAGGCGTGAGAAAATGGGGCTGCCATATAAGGAGCTAATAAAGTTAGCAGCTCTCCAGTTTGAAGGAAAAAAGAAGGGCAGGAGAAGTAGAAAACATCCTTGGGATCCACATAGCAGCCTCTCTTTGAGGAGGAAAAACCAATAAATAGAAATGGGCAGACACAACGCTTCAAAAGGCAGGTTTATCCATTTTGAAGACGGCGCCTTTCCCGAGCAGCAGAGCTACCACGTGTCACTGAAACTGCTCAAAAAGCAAAGATTAGATACTGAGCAAGGACAGCAACCAGGGCTCTGTTTGTTCAGACTGTAACTTCCTATGCTCAGGTTTGGCACAGCAACATCTCTGTGTGTCGTGCTGGGAAAGAGGGACATTTCACCTCTCCCTGGCTACATCAGCTGGGATTCACAGGGATCTGAGTGGGAACAAGAGGATTATCCCCACCACCAGTGCACAACCAGTTTCTTTCCTTTTGTAAAAAAGCAAGAAAAAGGTTTCCCAGCAAAGAGCTCAAAGAAACACTCAGTGTTCCTTTGTTTGAGCCAGCCAGCTCTAGCCACCATCTTGTCAGGGTAAAATGTATTTACATGCCTTCCTTGCTCATTGATTGTATTTATTAAAAGAACACTATGATAGCTGAATATTAAATTCCCAACTAGGTTTTATCTCCTTTTTAAGCCAGCCTGAATTATTTGCCTAATTTTATAGCTTACCCATTCTGCTTTATGATCATTTTTTCCAAGAAAGAATTGGTGCTGTTTGATATTTAGGCCCATTTGTTGCCAAGACAGAGGCTATTGGCTTAGGGGCTGAAAACACTTAGAGCACAGAGCCGGGTTCTGGAGCCTTAACCAACACAAAGCACAGGATTTATATTAATAAAGCTTTGCTTTCAGTTCTTTTTGAGGGTTAGTGCTCCATATCTTCCTGATGAGATGACTCTGTGCAGAAAACTCCCTTCACATCTTTGAAATGCAGAATTTAGTAATCTGTTTTCTGACGCTCTTCCCTGTGGTGTATTTATGCACAGTTCCAGGGATGGGACCTGCCACAAAATGCCATTTTAGCCAGTGGCTTAGCACCAGTCAAATCCCACAGACCAGTATACAGAGGCCCCTGGACTTTAGTTGACATTGAACCCATTTTTATCTCTATATAAAAGCATATTTTTGCTTTTAAAATTCCTTCTACAAAGAATCAGAGGTTTCTTCAGCAGCAGAACCCAGTGTGATGGTTGAGCCACACAACAAAAACCTATATTCCAACACAATACTGCAAAAGAGTTTACTCTCACTTGTGATGTGGTAGATATATTAGAAATAACTTTTTTATTGCCTGTTGTTGGGAAAAAATAGGAATATCACAGTGCCAGCTTCTGCCCTGCTTCCCCTTGCCCCCAAACTCCTATACAACCACGTGCCAGATGCTGTGTCTGCTCACCTCACAAGGGCTCTCCCCAAACACAGGGCTTTTATCACTAGACAGGACTATGGCCTTCCAAGCTGCAAAAGATTACATTTTAAGGGAAAACCAAAGAAAACAAACATAAAAAAGACAACTCCATATGATTTGATACCCAAACAGGACAATTGCAAAGGATATAAATCCTCTATGACTGGTTCGATCACCGAATCCTATACTTGGACATTTTTTACGCCCAACTGTTGTATTAACTCTACATCCAGATATGATTTTTACTTGTGTGCAATGCCCAGGGTAAAAAAACCTCAGAAATTACACTGGAAATATTACAGGACAAGGCTTTAGCACAAACCCCACAGTCCAAACCTGCAAGCTACAGGCTGCTCTTCCCACATTCCGCACACAGCACAAAATAAACACCGAGCAACCACCATCTGAGCTTTGGTTTCATCAAACACCATTTTGATACCACAGCAACATGAGGGTGTTTAAATGAAGAGGTGTGACCCTGTGTCTGTGGAGTTACCGCTCCTTCACTCCAGAGAAAGCACAAAGAGAAATATTTGTGCATCAACACCTGCTGTGCTCTAAAGCCTCTCCTCCAACACGGCATGGGAGAAGTTTCTTGTCTGCCTTTGGCTCTTATTTTCACCTCTACAGATCTCACTGTGCAGCTTTTTAACTCTTTGGGCTAAGAGCAAATCTTGAAAGACCACGTTTTTTTCTGTACAGAGGAAGAGTGAAGGTTTGTATTGCTTTTTGGCACTGGAAATTCAGGTTTTGTTTAGCTTGGAAATATCATGGATGTAGCTCGAGTAACTCTTCAGGGTGGTAAAAGTTCAGGGCTCACAAGGCAATTCTCAGTCATTTATCCTCAACTGCCAAAGGAAAGTAATTTAGAGTCCCACAGGGTGTGCCAGCCTGAAAAATGTGGAACCATCCCAACAGGCAGCTTCTTCTCCTCTGAACTTCCCTGCCAGCAAAGGCCTATGAAGAGTACAAGGTGTATCTCCAAACTAACACAGCCCTGATGAGGGAATAAAATCCAAATCCCTGTCCATACTGGCTTATTCCAAACAAAGCTTTAGACACAGGAGCTACAGCCACTGTTCACACACCTACCACAGGGAGCAGGGCATGCAATCCGGCCTGGCGACCTCATCCTCACCCTGAGTTTAATTTTGGCCAAAAAAGAAGGACAAAGTCATAGCTATGCTTGAAATCCCTGCAAGCAAGCAGTCAGTGAAATAATTTCTCCTAAGGGGCTCCTCCAGGGTTGGGTCAGCCAGCGGCATCCATGGAATCCTGGTTCGATATCCTCATTAAGGGTGGCTAACGACCCCCCTTCCCTGTGCACTAATGACTGCGGGAAGCTGTGCCTCCAAGTCATGTGTGACCTGGCAGAGACTAGCACCAGGTGTTTTTTAGTACCTTTGCAACACAATAGAAGAAATGACACCCAGTAAGGAAGCATTTCCCTTCTTCCCAGCAAGCGAGCAGGACTTTGAGGAATGGAGTAATAAACCGGCTGCATCTCACAGGAGCAAGAGAAAAAAAATGGGGCCCCTGATCATCATCAACACCATTTAAGATGTTCAATGCTCCCTCCACTGCCTTTGCCTAAGCAAAATTACGAGGAATATACTATCCCTCATACGTCTGTAGGCTTGGAGGGAAAGGGGCCCCACAGTTTTGCTCCCTGGAGGCACCCGCTCTCCCCACCCCTTTTGTGTGTATTTTTTTTAACGTGCCACACATCAGCACAATGCTGACAAGGGCTTTGTATGTTTTCTGCCTATGCAGCAGTTCAAGACACACAACTCTGGATTTTTTGAAAGGGAAAGGGGGAGGGAGCTGCCCTTTGCTGTACTATTTAATTGCACCACTTGCTCCTCTGCATGACCACAGGGAAGAGAAAAAGCACCAAGGTTTAAAAACAGAACCATTTTTAGTAGCCAAAAGGGTCAAACTCAGTCTTCTCACAAGGTACAGTGGAGCTGAGAGTAAAACCTACCAGAGACAAGAAAAAAATTATAAATCACCAGGGTTTCTTTTCTGGAGTTGGATGTGACCCCAGAAAACAGCTCATCCATCCTCACTCTCTGCTGTTACAGTCTCCACATTCGCACACCTGCCAATGCAGATTCCAGCACTGAAAAAAAAGGAGGGAAAGGTCTGGAAAGCTGGACTGTCGGTTTTTCCACCTGCCAGGCGCAGCTCAACGAAGCCCGGGTGGCTGAGCTCCAAGGAGCAGTGAGCAGAGCACATTATCACCCTTCTGGAGTTCCCATCTCACACACACATGCGTGATTCGGACAGCGCTGGCAAAGAGCTTCCTTCAAAAATAAGGATGACTAATCCACAGCAGTGCCGCATTATTTATTTATTTTAAAGGCCACAAGGCAGAGCTTTTTCCAGAAGCATCAGCCTTTGTGAACCAGCAAGCAGTGGGAAGGGGAAGCCCTGGGACCCGCTCATGCTCTGCAGACAGAAGTAACCACAGAAACACTGCGGGTTTGTGTGGCCTGTGTATGACACACGCAGATATGGCTGGAGCCTTGTCCCTCATGCTTCTGGGAAGGCCAGATCCCACTGCCTGGGTGATTCCTGGATCCCTGCGTGGTTTGTAGGGATCTGCTGAGGAGAGGGGTTACATAAACAATACATTGTTTCCTTTGGAAATAAACAAAAACCCAAAACAAACAAACAAAAACCAAACCAAAACAATACAGGAAAAAAGTAAGGCATGAAACAGATTTAACCCCTAACTGCAGCATCTGAGTGAGAGGATGTGCTGGAAAAAAACAGAGTGCAGGGATTTGGGATCAAAGCAGAGCACCCGAATCCCTCGGTGGACCCAGTACCCCTAGCAAGGTCACTCTGGCTCACAGGGACAAACATTAATGCAAAGCTGCGGTGGAACCACAGTGGAGGCAGCACTGCAGGAGGTCACTTAGGGACTGCAAAAAGGGAATGGATAAAAAAAAAAAAAAAAAAAACATCCATAAGCAGATGTTTACTGACATGCAGCAAATCCACAGCTCAGCTCTGGAAAGCTGTGTGGTTGGAGGGAGAACAGCCCAGTTCCCAGGACGCAGCAAATACCCTGCATCCTCAGATTGAGGTTACAGCTTTTAGCCAGCTCCACCCCCCCCCCCCACCACCAAAATAAAACCCCAACCAAATCTGTCATCTTTTTAAGCACTCAGAAACTGAGGTTTCCTCGGTGCCACCGAAGTGATTTTGGGTGGTGGCACCATTAAATACTTACCCACCTCACAGCCAAAGGCTGCACAATCTGAAATTTGTGAATGTTTGCAAATGGTTTGGAAAGCTTTCCAAGGAAGGTGATGTACGATTGTAAATCCTTCCCGTTATTAATAAAAGGGAGCTATTGTTCCAGCTCTAATCAAGCCTTGTCTCCAGCTGGGCAATTTTAAAACGCAATTCAAAACACACACAGGAAAACAATAAAAGATCATGAGGAAGCTTCGGGAAAAAAAAAAAAAAACCCAACCAAAAAAAAAAAAAAAAACCAAAAAAAACCACCACAAAACAAAAAAACCCCAACAACAACGAAACAGTGAATGGGAGGGGGGAAGAAAGGTAAAAAATAATACTCCTGCTATTTAGAATTAATTCCGAGCAGGAGCATGCTGGGGAAGGGGGGAATCCCCCCTCCCACCGCCTGGGAAAGGTCATTTATGCCATCGGTGCCATGGCCACGCCGGAGCAGGGCTGCGGTGATGCCAGCCCTGCCTCATTCATCTCCATCAGCGACAGCTCTGCTTTCCATTTATTTAGGAAAAAAAAATAAAAAAATAAAAATCCCAAACCCCTCCAAGCTGCAAACACCTCCCAGCGCTCTGTTTTCAAGGCTGGGGGAACCGAGCAAGGGGGAGCGGTTTGGAACGAGGCTCCCAGCCACGGAGAGGTGGCGCATCCTCCGCATCCTCCTCCTCCTCCTCCTGCCCGGCGCTGCGGCAAAGGCGCCGCAGTGGGGGCTCCCCGCCCCCGTGGAAATTTCTGGAACAAGCAGCCAAGCTGGAGAGAGGAGAGAAACCTTGATACCCGCAGAGGGCAGAGGAAAAAAAAAAACCCACGTAACTAAAAGGGAGAGGATTGCACAAGGTCGGGGAAAAATAAGAGATCTCTGTATAAGTGAAGCCCCCGAGCGGCTCTGGCAGCCCCGGCTCGGGGGGTGGGGCAGCCGCCTCGGCTCGAAACAAAACGCCCCAACAAAGCATATTAAAAAAAAAAAAAAAAAAAAAAAAGAGAGAGAAAGAGAGAGAGAGAGAGAGAAAGAGAAAGAGAAATGGTGGTGTTTGTAGCGCGAGATGGTGGGATAAAGGAGCTGATCCCTCCTCCTGGATCTACAGCAAAGCCGGCCATTGCAGTTCCATTTGTCCTTTATCTGTGCAATGAATTGTCTGATCCGGACTATTCGGTTGCATTTGCAGCTTCACTTACTGCGGTTTGGTTTTGTTGTGCTGTTTTCCTTTTTGTTTCTTTTTCATTGTTTGTTTTGGTTTTGGTTTTTTCTGGGTGTATTTTTTTCCTCTTTTTCATTAAAAAACAATCCTTCCCAAATCTCCCAAGGAAAATCTAGAACTCTGTGGAACAAATAAAACATTCAAGCACAAACTTCCATCATGGACTGTAAAAAAAGAGATGGGTTGGTTTTTGTTATTTTTTCTTTATTTTTTTTTAATGGCATTTTTTCTCCTGCTTGTAGGATACATTGTAGTAGGAAACCAATGGAGGAAAACAAAGGTAATATATATATATAAAATCATACATATATATGGGCCAAAGTTACAGTGATTATATATAATTAAATTATAGTTTTTAGGTGTGTGGGCTTATTTTATATTTTAAGTAGTCCCTGGGAAAAGGTCATATATATAAAATATTAACTATATAGCAGTATTTATATATTTATATTTAATAAAAATATTCAAGTATTTCTGTATCCATAGAAATAAAAGATCGTCTGTATGGGCCTAAATCTGCATTTCTATGGGGAAAAAAGCAGTATTTTTAGGTACGTAGCTTTTAAGAAATATGACACAATGTTATAGCCTATAACAACACTGTGATGCAGGAAAAAAGGATAAGGCAACATTAAAAGAATATTTAAAAAAAAAACAAAACAAAAACAACCCCCCCCCAACAAAACAAAAACAAACAAACAAAAAAAGTGTGGTACCTTGGCTACAGCCTCCAACAACGAGCATGTGGTTGTTATGGGATGTGGGGGTTTTTTAATGGTATTACTACGTCTGATCACACCAATTTATTATTTTAATTAAGCGAATGGCGGGCGAGCTGTCGTAGGGAGCAGGTGAGTAGTGATGGCTTCTTCCCGTACCATTCCAGCTCTGATGATAAATCAATCCTCGGGCGTTTGGAACTTTTGTTGTTGGTGTTGGTTTTTTTTTTTTTTCTTAAGCACTTTTGGGGATTTTCCATGCTGTGAGGAGACCAGGAGATGGCGGCTTCAACCCCTGCGAAGGAGAAAAGCGGTGGAAAAGCAGAGAATTAGGCATAAAACTACCCATCGGGGGGGTGCGTGTGGTGATGATTAAGGGAAGGGTGGGGATCGTGTGGAAAGTGAAATACTTGCCCAAAATCCCTCAGATGTGAGGGAGAAAAATAACATTTTAGGGTTAACACTGGGGGAGCTGGGGCTGAGGTGAGAAGACTGGGGGCTCCGCCATGGCCGAATGAAAATGCGCATTTCTGGCCATTTTCGCATCCTTTCGCAAAGGCGGCGAGGAGAAAAGCGTAGGAGGGAGGGAGAATAAGAAGAAGGTCAGGTTTCACCCGCAGCGCTTTCGCCGCCCGCACGGAGGGGTTTCACACAGGATCAGAGCCTCTCCGCCGTGCCCATGCCGCTCCGGCCCCGCAGACGCTGCTCGCCTGTCCTTCCCCCGCTCTCCGCCCGCCGCCATTTTGTCACCTCCGCGCCGCTCCCGCGGCCCCGCCGGGCGGCCATTTTGTGAAGCGAGCGCGGGGACAGCGCCTCAGGGGCCGTGAGGGGCGGCCCCGGCCGGCGCCGCCTTTTGTCGGCCCAAACCCTCGTTTCCTCGTTATTTTCTCTTTTTTTCTAAAGGAATTTCTCTTTTTCCTCACGAAACACTCTGTCCTTAACTCCCCGTCTAGAGCCCGAGCTCTTCAGCAAAAAAACCTCAAACAAAACAAAAAACAAACCCTATACTCAGACAAAGCAATCCAATAAATGAGATTAAAGCATATTCCCCAGCTTGGCTGGGCGGAAAAGTTTAGCTGCGCAGAGAATTAAGGGATATATTAATATGTTATATATATTTATTCCCAAACCTTCACTTTTTTCCCCCCAGTGATAAATCCTTCATGCCAATAATCCACCTTGACGAAGGGGATAACCTCTTCGAAAAATATCCATGTTTTTATTTCAATAAAACACTTCGCTCACACTGCTTTACTGGACATTCCAGCAAAATAAAGATACAACTTAAACCACTCGAAGCCAAATCTGGGTGAAAATTGGTAATTTTCAGGAAATAGGGCTGCACGATGCTGTAATCACTGATATGATGAAGGAAATCTGGGATATGAAATAGCAAAACCCTGCTCGCAGGTATGTGCTGTGCATCTGTTTTCAGAAATAGGGTGGGTTGGGCTTTTTATCCTTTATTTTATAAAGAAGCCAATATAGCACTCGCAACCTGGTAACGTGCTTGCGCACTCGCCTCATCTCTTTCCCCTCATGCTATCAAAATCAATGTCTTTTAAAACTACATTGTGGCAGTGGGTGGTTCAGTTTTGCCAGGAAAGCTGGGGGAAAAGGAGAATATTAGCATACAGCTTTTACATATATAAATATATATATAAAAAAGTGTATGTAGATATTTATATTTATCCCACCTGTGCTGCCTGAGCTGGAGAAATCAAGGCTTGGGCTGTTCCTGGTGTAATCCCTGTTGGTTTTTGTCTCTACCAGAATCATCAGGATCAGATAGCTTTTCATTTAAGACATAAATTTTTTTTTAGGCTGTGTCAAAGGAAAGTGCAGAAAATAGGTCTGAATGCTCTATGGGGAAGAACAACGACTCAGGAAGCTGGCTGGGATGTGACTGCCATTAACGTGGGTTCCAAAGGAAAAACCCAGTTTTCCTGCAGCTCTATCTTATTTGAGAAAAACCATCACCTGCACCCAACTTTGCTCCCAGCACCTTTCCTGCCCCTTTATCATTACATTTTCCTTGCACCACACTACAAATCTTCCATTTTCCAAAGAAACCTGCAAAAAGCAACCCTTTAACCACTGACTTAAAATTACAACAGCTGTACCTGGTAGCTCCTTCAATTTAAAACCTCTTTTTAAAAATCAGGCAGTCCTTTGAGTTGTAAAAAGATAACCTTTAGGCTTTTTTTATGTGCTGCACCGTCGTACTCCTGGGAGCCAAGTTGGCCTTGCAGCAGAGCAAAAGATCGGATGCCTTTGCTGGGAAAGCCCGAGGAAATTTTATCCGCGGGCCGCACCCAGCCTGAAGTGAGGAAATATTTGCATTTGCTGCTCCTTGGAAGGCAGCCAGGTCCTTCCCGCTCTCCTCAGCCTGCCAAGAGGGATTGCAAGAGCTGACGGGCGTATTGCAGCAGCCAAGGGAAGGGCTGGAGCCATTCGGAGCGCTGCAATCCTCTCTGCCCTTTGGCACTGCCACAGGGACAAGAGGAGGGACTTGGAGTGGGTTTTACACCTAGGTGGTCCCGGGGGGGGCTCCACAAGGCTTTGGAGCCGAGCCCCCCAAAATGTTGGTTTTGAGGCAGGATGTGTGGTTGGTGTATTTTTGCAGATCTGGGTGCTTGCAGAAGTGCTCGAGATGGGGTGAGGAGTCCAAGGACAGGCTGAGCCATTGTAGCTGATCTGAGTTTGCTCAGCAGCAGGACAGGATCCAGCTCCTGCAGCCTCACCCTTACAGGATCTCCTGCATGTGGCTCAAAATTCCTCGAGCTCCTCCCAAGGGAAAACACGGGGCTGTGCTTTTCAGGCAAAGCAATGCTCCCCACGCCTCCGCTTGTAGTGCTTCTCCCTTTATCTGGGAAGAAGGGCTTACCTCAGCCTTTTTGTCCTCTTACCTGTGTCCGTGTATCCCTGTCCCTTGTCACCCTCTACTCCTGAAAAATTACACTGAATCTGACCACACCACATCCCTTCACCATGCTGCCAAACTCTCCAGCAGTGCCTTTCGTTTCTCCTTACTTTCCAGGACCTTCTCCAAGGCTGCCTGTAAATAAAAGCATTTCCCTGCCTATCTCCGGCCAAAGATTCTGCAGTCCCAGTGCCAACAGCCCATCCTACAAGGCTCCAAGGGGGAAATACCCAACTCCTTCCCACCATTCCTCTGTGGAAGGGTAGTACAGCTTGCAATAACACATCCAAAACACCACTCAGCTTTGCACTTCCATCCTCACTAAAAACCTTGAGTGGAAAAATATCCATATAGCAAAAAGCAGGCAGCCCTTTGCCATGTGAGCCTTCTTTTTCCTGCTCCCTTTGGCCACTGCCACATCCTTTTATTTTCTTAGCATCATTTTGATGCTTTTTTACTTTTTTAGCATCATTTTGATGCCTGATTTTCCTCACAGTGTAAGGAGCTTTGGAAAGTGAGAAATGACTTGGAGCACAGGAATTCCTTGGCATGGGATAAGGAGTTCCCACCCAACCGGACCCAAAGCCACCAACTTACGTGACTGGGACAAACCACAACTTATTTATAAATACGTTTAAAGCAAGTTACAACCTGATTGATGGCTCAGAGATGCTCGTTAACAAACACTGAGTAAACACCTTTGTAGACAGGGAAGAGTCATCAGGAAATAGCTATTGATGTGATTAATTAACCGTCATTAACCCCTTCACATAAACACAGCACATGCCGGAGATAATGTACATGATCCAGGAGCTGCTGGTCTGGCGGTTGTTTTCTTTGTTTACAGCTCCCATTTTCCATCAGGAAAGCATTAAACATCATCTCACATGCTCTTGCTATTTTCTGCTCTTGATTTGTGGCTCTTTAAACACTTCTTAACTTTCTTTTTAACCGAAAGTTTCTCCGCCTGGTTTGCAACGCCCTCACAAACAAAACCACTAAGCACTGGCAACATCGGTTGCGCAGATGTTGGGCATGCAGAGAAATGGTCTAATTTCTGCTGTTTTGAAGCCTGGACTGAGAGGAGATCAAAAAGCTTTCACTGGCAGAGCGATATAATCTCGGATAACATGCAGAAAGCGGGCTGTCCATCCTTCCCAGCGTCCCGGCCCTGCGGGATGCTTTTAGCAGGAGTTTTACTGCCTGATGGAGGAATCTGTGCTCCGGCTGCCCTCTGCCGGCTCCGGGATAGATAGTCAGAAAAAAAAGCCAACCCAAACCACACCAAAACCCCTTTTATCAACACCACGAAACATTGCCAGATCCCATATCCACCCCAAAAAAACCCCACCCGTCTCTCCCCCGGGTGACAGCAGCATCTACCACATTGCTACACCCTAAAATCAACTGTTATGGACCTGAGTGGCCCGACTCTTGTCACGCCTAGAAAGTCCAAAACCAGCTTTTTTCCTTATTTTTAAACTTGGATTTGGTAGGTTTGGAATGCAGGGTGGATGAAAGGAATGAGAGTTTTTAAACTAGGGGTTTTATTTAACTGTGAGTAACTAAATCCGTGCCCGCTCTCCACAGAGGGAAACATTTCAGTGAAACCCCAAGGAAGCTCACTAAGAAAGCAACACCACCCAAGAAAACCAAACTGGCCTTGAAAAAGGAGTTAAAAAAAAGAAATAAGGAATAAAACCCTCACTCCTCATTGCTGCTCTGTCAGGGCATCATGAGCATAGATCTGTGCTGGGAAATACCCACAATATATGCACAATTCTCCACCCCCCCAGTCCACTGGATCAGGGTCCTGGGGACATTTTGGTGATGAAAACCCTGTTCTGCAGTAATTAGGGAGTGCTCCAGGCATGCAGGGTCAGCCATGGGGCGCATCCCACTGGGGGCACCCCGTTTTTGGTTCCTGGCACTGGAAGAGGTTGATGAGCTGCAGGGTCTCAGCAGGATGACTCGTTGCGCCAGCGGATGTGGCAGGACTTGCAGAGGAGGTGGTCATCCAAGGGGTAGCACCCATTCTCTGTCAGCTCCGGTGACAGGGGCATCCTGCAGCTCTAGAGGCAGGAGGGGAAAAGGAAGCCAGATTTTGGGGTCCCTGTGTTGTGTTACACCTTATTTTCCCTGAAAAGCCATCAGCACTCCGAAAAAGTGACAATCTACATCAAAAGTGTGCAAAGCTGAAGTTCTCCAAACACATCATCATCACCACCCAATTTACTTATTTCCCCCCTCCCCATTACTTGTAAGGTAAACTGGCGGCTAAAAAACAGCTGTGGATGCTGCCATCCCTGTGTCCATGCTCAGCTAAGGCTCAGTGCCACCCCCGTGGCTCTGGGTACCCCCAGCTCCCTGGGCTGTACCTCACAGCGGTAGCAGTTCTCGTGGAAGCTGCGTCCCAGGCACTCAATCTTGTAGGTGTCCTCGTCCTCATGGGGGACAATGGGGCACTCGCAGGCGCTGCACATCGGGGCATATTTCCTGATGGGAGCAAATGGGAGCAGTGTGAGCCCGGCGGGGTGATGGGAACGAGCCAAATCCAACTCCCAGTGTGGGAGACACTGCCCCATTGCCAACCTGTAGAAGTCAGGCACGCAGTACACGTCACCCTGCTCATCCACGGCGAAGCTCTCGGTGCCGATGGCCCGGCCACAGGCAGCGCAGGAGAAGCAGCTGGGGTGGTAGCCCTTGCCCAGGGCACGGACAATGTGCTCCGTGATCAGCTCCTGGCACTTGGCACATTTCTCCAGCGTGGCCTGGAATTTAGGGAACACATGTCATGAGACACCAGCCCACACCCCAGGGGATGTTCTGAGGGTGCCAGTTTTCCCTGAAGGAGGATGGATACCTGGAAGCAGGTGTCACACGTGGGGCACCCATCTCTCTGGAAGTAGCGCTGCCCAGCCAGGAGTCGGTGGCACGTGCGGCAGGTGAAGCAGTCAGGGTGGTACTGCTTCCGCATCGCCTCCACCGTCAGCTCCTGGGGCCCCAGTGCTTTGTGGCAGAAGGCACAGATGTCTGCAAGAAGCAGGGAGAGCGGTTGGGAGCTGTGTGCTTCAGTTTCCCTAAGTGGAGATGAGCCCATGCACTGCTGGGTCTCCCCTTACCTCTGGAGCTGTCCCTCTCCGGGTACCCATTCACATCCTGCCGCTGCTGCTTGCCTGCTTGCTCCTGACAAGATGTGGGTGGCTTCAATTCAGCAGGGAAGGTGGAAGGGGCCTGGCAAGTGGGGAAGGGCAAAGCCATGTTAGTTATACCCCTGCATGTGGGGAAACTGAGGCACTGGGAGGGAACTGCACTCTTGTTATCCTCACCTGGAGGGTGGCAGGTGCTGCAAGGTCCAGTTGTTGCAGTGCCAGACCCAGCACCTCCTCAGACAAGGGCTGGGGCACTTCAGAGCAGGGGAGGACTGGTGGAGATGAAGGTACAGGGGCCACCGGGTGAGTTCCTGCAGCAACAGACAGATGTGGGGAGTTTAGGGGATCAATAACGTGCAGTACCACCCCATCACAATAACGCCCTGTCACAACAACACCCTAACAGCTTTGCAGCAGCACACAGTGACCAGCCCCAAAAGCAAACGCCATCGAAGCAAGAGGGGACAAACAGCACCGGTAATGCCTGGCATTGGAGAGCAAACACAGCCCGTCCCCAGGAGCCAGATCCATGCTGGGATGGGTGCAGGGATTTGGGGAATAACCCCACAAAAAATTTCCCCACGTTCCCTTCTACACATGCATCCTTTAACAAAGCATCTCCATAGCCTCCTCAGCTCCATCACCATCCCTCCACACTACTCGCAGCCCCCCATGGACACCCCTCACCTCCGTTGGGCAACGTGGGGGCTGACAGCAAGATCTGGGGGTGATAGGTGCCGGGGACCTTGGCACCATCTGGCTGCGGCTCCCGTTGGGTTTTCTCCTTGGTGGCCAAGTCCCTCCGTGGTGGCGCGAGGGTGATGAAGATGGATGAAGCAATTCTCTTCTCTGCTTTCCTCGGCAACATTGCTGGAGCCGTGGAAGGGCCGGATCGGGGGTTGGTTGTAGGGAAAATAAGAAAGAAAGAGAGTAAAACTCACAGGCACACTGGCAGCTCCTGCAGCCGTGTTGCCCTTCGGTATCAACCCGCCTCCCTCCTCCCGGAAAGGGAGAAGGAACAAGCGTCCCCGTCCCACGTCACACCAATAAATGGTCTCTTGCCTGGGAGGACACAGGGTTCAGAGTCCTGGCGAGGCAGCAGCTGATATCTCCCATTTTCACACCTCTGTGGCCAAATCCCACCTTTTCATAAGCATTTGAATCCCCTTTATTTCCTCTTATTGCTCCCACCCACCTGGGATTAAACTCCCCATGGGCAGCAGGAAATACCACCTTTCCTTTCAAAAAACAAGGCTTCAATAGGATTTTGCTTTTGCAACCCCTTTTTTGGAAACTTTCTACATCCCCATTCCCTCCCACCTTACCCCCAATTCCATGCCAATCGCTTCCAGCTCTGTGCATCCCTCCTTTTATTTTTCCAGGTGGGAAAACTGAGGCACAGTGCTGTGAATCATCATGTCCCCGACATTGACACATCCCCTGAGCAGCACCCGGCAGCACAAGCAGGATGCACCCAACCCCGAGAAACCCTGCTCAGGAAGGAAAAGGGCTGTTTATCCAAATTCCCAAGGGGAAAAGCAGCTGGGGCAAAGCTTCCCCTTCCCAAACAGAATGGTTTGGCGTGGGGGAGAACCCTGAGGCTTTATTCAGGGTGCCGAGTTGCTGAAGCAGGATTCATCCCTGAGGTGAATTGGCAGCTTGAAAAATACCTGTGTGATGAGCTCCTGGTCTCATGCAGCTCTGCTCCCCCAAAATCCGACTCACGGGGGTCAGCGCATCCTTTTAGGGGCAAGACAGACTCCCCGAGATGGGGGAAAAGCTTCGCGATGTTCCTGCCGGTGACTTCAGCTTCTGACTCATGGAGAGAAGGGATTAAAGAGGAAAAAGAACCCCGAGCATTTCGCTCCCTCTTTCCCTCCCTCCCTGCCGGCTACCGGCCTTCGCCCAGCTCCTCACCCGCCGGAGACGTGCCTTTTCCTCCTCCCCAGCAGATCTGCAGAAAACTGGGGGAAAAAGAAAAGAATTATCATAAAAAAAAAAAAAATTCTCCGGGGTTAATGGGAACCATGTGCTCATCGCATTCCTCTTTGTGCCGGGGCTGACGGGATCCCGGCAGCCCCGTGGCAGCACCCCCCAGATCCCCCCCAGCCGGGGAACTCGAGGGGTGCATTAATTGGGGACCCCTCTCCCCATGTAATTCCATCCTGGTTTGGGGTGACCGAGGCCACATTGGAAAGGAACCCCCCTGGTTTCCCTAAAATCTCCTGGGATGGGAGCTCAGGTGGGATTGATGGGGATAGGGCCACTTGTGGGATACCCCCCAACTCCCAAAACTGGGATGGGATGCAGCCCTCTAGAGCTGTACCGCAACTCTGCCCCTGCACCAGGGACCTCTCAGAGGACTCCCAAGGAAAAAGGGATGAGATGGGGGTACACAAGGCTTGGTGTCCCTTCTCCCCATCACCCCGAGTGGTCCCACTATCCTCTTGTCCCTCACATGGGGGGGGGGGGGGGGGGCTTGCAGCCCCCTCGGCATCCCTTGTGTGCAAGCGTGCAGCCCCACAGCTCCCTGTCCCCTACCTGGCAGTGCCCTGTCCCCTATGGGGCAGTGGCCCCAACGTGTCCCCCTGCCTGGGAGCCCCCCATTCCCCCCCTGAGAGAGTCCCCAGTCCCCTCCTTGGGGGTGGCTCTTGGTCCCCTTGTCTCATCACAGGATGACTGCTGTCCTTATCCCATTACGTGTGGGGTCCCGTGTCCCATACTGGGGTGTCCCCTGTCCTCTCTTGGGGGTAGTCCCAATCCCACACCTGAGGGTGGCCCCTGTCCCCTACCTGGGGGAGTCGTACCTTGCGGGCGAGGTTCCCTGCCCGGGACGGGCGGGGTGTCGCCTGCCCGGAGGTGGCTGTGCAGCCTCGCGGGGGGTGACCCTGTCCCCGTCCCTGTCCCCTACCTAGGGAGCCAGTGCGGGTCCCTCCGTGCGCTCCGCAGGCGCGGCGGGGGCAGCGGGAAGGCAGAACCGCCCGGCATCACCGCCCCTTCCTCCCTCCTCCTCCTCCTCTTCCACCTCCCTTCCTCCTCCCCTCTGCCTGCCCCACAGCCCCGGGCGGAGGAAGAGGGGGACACATGCCCTTGGAATGCCCTATTCATCCCCCGACTGCCCCAAGCTCCCCAAAGTGCTCCATGGTTGCCCCATGCCCCGTGGGTGCTCTCATATGCTCTGGGATTACCCCTCTCAGGTTTTCCCATGGACCCCCCCTTGAGAGCCCCACGTACCCTCAGGGCACCCAACGCCAAAGGGTGCCCCGTGAGCCCCCATACGCCCCAGGGTGCCTGTGTGCCTCAGTACAGCCATAATATCTCCATATACCCTCAGGATAGCCCCTATCCTCCAATGCAGCCCCAGTTACCCCCCTGTACAGCTCCATCCTCAAAATGCCCCATATTTCTTCTGTGCACCCCCGGGACACCTATGTGCCCCCCTAGAGCCCCAGCGTGCCCTTATAGAGTCCCTGGTGCCCCAAACACACCCAGACCCCGTCCTGCTCCCATCCTGCATTGGGGGTCCATGCCCAGGCAGCCAGAACCCCCCCCTCCCCAAACTGCACCCCACCTTCACAGGGCCTGTTGCCCTCTGGCATAGCACAGCGGGCTGCAGTCAGGGGGAAACTGAGGCAAAGGGGCACTTCCCAGCCAGAGGATCACCCCACTCTATGCCTCAGTTTCCCTTCCCAAGGAGGAATTCTACCCGCCTCCTTCAAAAAGCTGCACTATCACCATCCTAAGTGCCTTTCCAGAACAATGGGACCCCAGCTTGCTCTTCTCGAGGATTGTGCTGGAAAAGACTTTATTTTCTGAGATTTATAACCCACCGGAGGCCCCTGACAGTGTGGGCCTGCAGCCAGCAAGGATGAGACATCCATCAGCATCCCACAATCCCACTGGGACCAGAGAACAAACCCCAGTAGTGCTGCCCCCAAAAACCAGGGGCAATGTGAGTCTTTCCCCCGGTCTCCTCCATCCCATGGGATGTGGTTGGATGCCTTCCAGGAGCCCTTTTTTCCTAAGTCCCCATGGGGGATGTGTGATGGGGGATTCTGGGTATGCCCAGCAAAGCCACCCTGAGTTTCAGCTGTCTGGTTACACCCCGCGGCTCATCGGGATGTCTCCTCCGATGTGGATCCCGAGAAACTGTCCAAGCGAGGCTGCTGGGCAAAATCCTGTGGGGGACGGAAAGAGAGAAGCCGAAAGGGCTCTCACCGTGGCCTCGGGGCTGCCGCCAGCCCCTCAGCCCCGCGTCGTGGCAGGGAGGTGTCCCCCCTCTCACCTGCCTCCAGCAGGACTCCAGCAGCACCCCGGAGCGGAGCAGACACCAGAGCTCCCCCAGCAGAGACACGAAGACGTGCAGGATGTCGGTCCATCGGCCCACGGTGAGGAGGAGGATGAAGAGGCCGCCCATCCTCACCAGCACGGTCCGGAACACCAGCCCCTTGCCCGTGCTCTGCCGGGACTCTTCTGCGACATTGGGGATGGCATTGGGGAGCCACCGCGGGGACACTGCGACCTCCGCACCCCCACAATGAGGACACCGAGCACGGGGTGGCTTCACGTATAGCCCATGCAGCCCCTACACACCTACAGTACATCCCATGTACCCCCTATACAGTCCCAGGGCGCCCCATGTACCCCCAGGAAATCCCGTGTACTCTCCATGCACCCCCAGTACCGCCTACGTACACCCGGGATACATACACATACATCCCCTACGGACCCCCAGGATGCCTCATATACCCCCATATATCCCCAGAATGTACCACATACCCCCTTACAGACCCCCAGAATGCCCCATATGGGCCCTATACACACCTAGCATGTACTATATATATCACCTACACAGCCAAAAGGACACCCCTACGTACCCCCTGCATACCCAGTACATCCCATATACTCCACATACACCCCCAGGACCCCCAGTCTGCCCCTACACAGCCCCAGGTAGCCTCCAGTGGCCAGATACACCCCGAGTACATCCCACATGCCCCCCAGAACCCCCGTAGTGGGCCAGCCCCCCACTCACCCTGCATGTAGACGACCAGCAGGGTGTAGCAGATGGTCAGCGGGGTCCAGAAGCGCACGGCCTCGCCCGTGGAGAGGAAGTCGCGGTTGATGAGCTCCACAGCGGCCAGGTCGGCTACGGCGAAGGTGAGGGCCAGGGCGTTGCGCAGCAGGCGCGGGATGCCGTGCCCTGCGGCCAGCAGCAGGATGCAGATGCCGCAGTAGCGCGCCCGGCTGTGCAGCTCGTACAGGGCGCAGACGTGCCGGGCCAGGCGCCGAGCGTGCAAGGCCAGCAGCCCCGCCAGCCCCGCCGCCAGCACCAGGTTCCAGCTGCGGTGCGGAGCCCCCTCCAGCAGGAAGCTGAGGCTGCAGGACACCCCGCAGCCCAGCGAGTACTGGCACAGCAGGTAGAGCTGGCTGCTATGGGCGCCCTGCAAAGCAGCAGTCAGTTCATGGCATCGATGAAGTTCGGAAAGACCTCCAAGATCAACGAGGCCAACCGTTCCCCTCTAAACATGTCCCCAAGTGCCTCATCCAAACACTTGTTGAACCCTTCCCAGGACGATGACTCCAGCACTGCCCCAGGCAGCCTGTGCCAGTGCCTGAGCACCCTTTCCGTGAAGGATTTTTCCCAATATCCAATCTAAACCTCCCCTGTCTCAGCTTGAGGCCATTTCCTCTCAACCTGTCCCTGTTCCCTGGGAGTAGAGCCCGACCCCCCTGGCTGTCTCTTCCTATCAGGGAGTTATGCAGAGCCAGAAGCCTCTTCTTCTCCAGGCTGAGCCCCCTCCCTTCTCAGCTCCCTCAGCCTCTCCTGGTGCTCTAGCCCTTTCCCAGCTCCATTCCCATCTCTGGACATGCTTCAGCCCCTCACCGTCCTTGCCACAGAGGTCCCAGAACTGGAAGTGTCCCAGCAGTGCCAGCACAGGGGACAAGCACTGCCTTGGACCTGTGCCCACACTTGGACCAGTCAGGGGCCATCGGCCTTTTGCCCACCTGGGGACACCTGGCTGAGGTGCAAAGGGATACACAGTCTCCTCCACACCACAGCTGCTCCATCCCCTGTGGGTGCTGAACAAATCCTCAATTTCCCAGCTCCATCCACACCACATCCCACTGTGCCTCAGTTTCCCCCATGCCATCTCACCTTGCCGAGGGAGAGGATGGTGGAGACGGCGCGGAGGGAGAACTCCAGCACCACCAGCGCAGCCACACGAGAGCCCACCAGGGCCAGGACACCGGTCAGCACCAGCACATGCAGCGGCTCCAGCAGCGGCCGCTGCGCCGCGATCGCCTCCTTCTCCGCCTGCCTCTCCGGTTTGCTGGGGACAGCAGGGGGGAAAGCTGAGCCAGGGGGGATGTCACCCAAAATGGGGTGACAAGCCTTAGTGACATCCTCCTCTGTGCTTTGCAGCAGAGGCTGCAGTCCCTGCCCTTCAGCCCTGGGTGCCAAGAGCCACCACCCAACAGCAGATCCCAAAATCAGATCCCCGAAACCAACCTCCCCCCCAGAGGGGACAAAGGGCTGGTGCTTACTTCACGCACTGGATGTAGAGATAAACCTTCAGGAGGCTGCAGAGCACCGAGACGGCACAGGCACCCACTAGCCCTGGGGGGAAAGGCAGCAGTGTGTCACTGGTGTCACCTGAGCTGTTCCCAGGCTGACCCGAGGCCACCCCCGGGGGAATCTCACCTTGCAGGAGCGCATCCAGCAGTGCCCAGCCCCATGCCAGCCCGGGCAACGCCAGAAGCCAGGACCCCAGGGAAAAC